GAGTCAATGTCATTCATCTAAACAAACTTCATAGCCCTTCATCCCAGGATGCTACAGGCCTAATATCAGTACCCTGGGCTTTTTGGTTATTGAGAAGAAGCTGATTGAGGTTTTTGAATCATTTTACCCCTGTGACCTTGAAAGTGAGTCAAGGTCATTCATTTGAACAAACTTCGTAGACCTTCATACCAGTATGCTAGAGGCAAAATATCAGTACCCTGGGCCTTTTGGTTATGAAGAAAAAGTGGTTTGAAGATTTTAAGTCATTTTACCCCTGTGACCTTGAAAGTGGTTAAGGTCACTCATTTGAACAAACTTGTTAGCCCTTCATTTCAGCATGCTACATGCCCAATATCAGTACCCTGGGCCTTTTGGTTATTGAAAAGAAGAAGTCGTTTAAAGATTTTAACATATTTTCCCCGTGACCTTGAAAGTGGGTTAAGGTCATTCATTTGAACAAACTTGGTAGCCCTTCATTTCAGCGTGCTACAGGCCCAATATCAGTACCCTGGGCCTATTGGTTATTGAGAAGAAGTTGTTTGAGGTTTTTAAGTCATTTTACCCATGTGACCTTGAAAGTGAGTCAATGTCATTCATCTAAACAAACTTCATAGCCCTTCATCCCAGGATGCTACAGGCCTAATATCAGTACCCTGGGCTTTTTGATTATTGAGAAGAAGCTGATTGAGGTTTTTAAATCATTTTACCCCTGTGACCTTGAAAGTGAGTCAATGTCATTCATCTAAACAAACTTCGTAGCCCTTCATCCCAGGATATTACAGGCCTAATATCAGTTCCCTTGGCTTTTTGGTTATTGAGAAGAAGCTGATTGAGGTTTTTAAATCATTTTACCCCTGTGACCTTGAAAGTGAGTCAAGGTCATTCATTTCAACAACCTTCGTAAACCTTCATACCAGTATGCTAGAGGCAAAATATCAGTACCCTGGGCCTTTTGGTTATGAAGAAGTTGTTTTAAGATTTTAAGCCATTTGACCCCTGTGACCTTGAAAGTGGGTCAAGGTCATTCATTTGAACAAACTTGGTAGCTCTTCATCCCAGCATGCTACTGGGCAAATATTATCAGCCTGGGCCTCTTGGTTATTCAGAAGAAGTTGATTAAAGTAAAAAGTTGATGCGGCCGGACGCCGGACAGACACGGTAAATTTTCTAGTTTAAAATATGTTCATCACTTTTCCTTCATACATTTTCTAGCTTAAGACATGTCCATCAATTTTACTTCCTCAATTGTCTTGTCTATGACATGTCCATCGCTTTAATCCTCACTCAATTATGTGTTCAAAACATGCCCATTCGTTTTCTTCCCTTGAGTATCTTGTTTTCGGACATTTCCATCCCGTTTCCTCCTTAAATTCATGTTTCTACTGTTGATGTCCATGTTTTCCTTGCGATTGTGTTTCCTCTTATCTATGTTTACATTATTGAGTTCTATGTTTCCAAGCAGGACTGCCAACATTAAGTCAACAGCCCTTACTCAATCTGTTCAGAGACAACTCACTTAAACAAGAAGCCCACGGGCCTAAACGGTCACCTAAGTCCTACAGTATTTATTTTTGTTGTTGAAATATGAATCGGAGATAATGATGTCAATCATACCTACCAATTTGAGTAAAAAATTGTTAAGTATGATGATGTTAAGTTAAGTTTGTCAGGATCATGAGTTGATCATTCCTAGACCGAGATTAAGTTAAGTGGCCTATTAGAACTTTTAAGTTTGAAATAGTTTTTTTTCTCTTAAATGGCGGCCATATTTGATTTTTGATCGACCTAGAAATTAACTACACTTTGTCAGGACCTTGAGAAGATCATTACTACCAAGTTTCAGTTCAATCGGCCTAGTAGAACTTCACTTTTAAGTTTGATTTGTTTTTTTCAAAATGGCGGCCGTGGCCACCATATTGGATTTCCGATTAACCCGAAAAATAACACCATCTATTTTAGGACCAAGAGCTTATCATTACTACCAAGTTTCAGTTCAATCTGCTCAATAGAACTTGATTTTAAGTTTGAAATAGTTTTTCAAAATGGCGGCTGTGACGGCCATATTAGAGTTCTGATTGACCCAAAAATAACAACACTTTGTCAGGACCATGAATGGATCATTCCTACCAAGTTTCAGTTCAATCAGTCAAATAGAACTAATTGATTTTAAGTTTGAAATAGTTTTTCAAAATGGCTAAAGCTCAGGTGACCTAAAAATAGAAACCTGTTCTATTTTCAGCAATTTCATTTTCCACAAGGAAGAAGAAAAGTTGTATGGCCAATTTTACAGTATTGAAGAATTTCTTAAATTCCTTAAATACTACATGTTAAATGAAATTTGAAAGGTAATTGTGAGAATATTTCAATACAATTGCTAGTATTTATATTGCTCATTATAGACAGGTGAAGTTGTCTCATAGACACTTCATGAAACTGTTCTCATGCTCAAGCATGGATTTTGTGCTCAAACCAACTTTCTTATAACTTTGTAAAATCACCCGACAGTCAAAAAATGAAGTCCAGTCATTAATATGGTATTTGTCTACAAATCCCTCCATAATTCCTCCAAAATCATGGACAAGATGGGCACAGAACCTGAGTTTGAGCATGAAAGCTGTTTCATGAGTCTGAGTCCTAGGACATGTAATCATATGTATCTTTGTTATAACACTCATACTCTATTGCCTTGTTTGGAAATGATAGAAGAACAATAGTAAGTTTTGAATATATATTGTTTTATTTAGCAGCAACAATTAACAAAGCACCAAAATAAACTGATCAGAGGCTGTGTAAATACAAAACAAGAGGCCCAAGGGCCTTAGCGGTCACCTGAGTTATATCATAGGTACTGGTAGCTTTATTTTATTGTTTAGATGTGATGTGGAAATCAGCATGTAAACTAAGTGAAATACAATACTTGTCATGTCATCAATGGATAAGAATTTGAAAATATTGGTAAATGTTCCCTTTGGGGCCCCGCCCTAGCCCCTGGGGATGGGGCAGGAAT